TTATTTATTGGCCATATAAAGCACAAATAGCGGCAAAACTTTCAATAGCATTTGCGAAATTTGCATTTGATTAGCTTCGCCAATCGATTGCTACCAGAGGAGCGACACAAGTATGTTGGAATTGCCGAAAGTTAATTTTGTTGTTCGGCAATGAGTGTCATCGACTTTCAGAATATTCAAAATATGGTGCAATCATCGCCTCGGGCACATGCGAGCTTAGATACGAATATTCTATATTTTGTTTATCATGCGCACTTTCGGAACCGGATTGGCGGCGACTAGCAACCGTTAACAAATTGTAAAGTATACAATTTATTTCCAAACAGGTCTCGTACATATATTTTGTGTCTCTGTACGATTCAATTGAATCCCTTGCTCTCTACAGCACAAAGTATCTAATTCGATTGCTGGTCCACTGGATAATCAACAGATTAATGGCCAACAAGTGCTGCTAATTAATCAGGCACCAAGCGAAAATAGCAAAGTGTTTGTTCCGCCTCCAAGCTGGGAGCTCAGTTATGGTGCGGATTCCCAAACGAACCTCAATGCAGCCGACAGGCGTTGAAATAAATGCGATAATTATGCAAATCGGGGGCCAGCTGATACCAAAAATTAGTCAGAATTATGCAAAATTATAGAAAACCAAAAATATGGGATCTTATGTGATGGTTTGCTCATACAAATGAATGTAAATCGCTTTGGCCATCTTGGGCGTGGGACAAGGGATTACTAGTCTGACAAATGATGCCTCTGCTTACTTCTGACCACAGCGAGATCGATGCCATACGAGTGGAGCACCTGAGCGCCATGGACAGCATTGGGAGCTACCTCAACAATCCGGTGAATGCCTTCCGGCTGATCAAGCGCCTGCACAGCGACTGGGAGACCTTCGAGAGTAGCGTGAAGGGAGACACGAGTCGAGCGGGTAAATGTCTCCAGATATCTTCTTTCTGACCCGTGTCTGATGTGATCTGTTCCTAAAGACTACCTCGAGGCCATGGCTGAGCTGAGGGAGAACCTAAGCTATCCTTCGCAGGATGATTTCGTGGGCTCTGCCATTGCCCTGACACGACTCCAGCAGACTTACCAACTGGATGTGGCAGAGCTGGCAAGCGGAATGCTGAATGGAGTCAAGTATGGGTGAGAAATGCCAAGAATGCTAGCACAAAGAAATCTCTGTTCATCGGAGAACCTCCTGCAGCACTGCTATGTCCTGGCAGGACTGCTTCGTGCTGGGACAGCACCTGTACGCCTTGCGGGACTACAACCACACGGTGCCGTGGCTGCAGCAGTCGATGCAGCTGCTGGGAGAGCAAAGCTACGGAGAGGAGTCCGCCTCGCTGGACTTCATGGAGGCGGTGGTGGGGTATCATCAGCAGATGGGCGACCACGAGAACGCCCTCAACCTGGTCAACCACGTGCTTGCCGTTGAGCCTGAGGAGCGCCGTCACCTCGAGGAGACCCGCACGCAGCTGGAGGATCTCATCACGGATGGCGTGAAGCAGGGACTCCTCCACACCACTGCACGCAGGCCAGGGGACTATCACAGCTCCCGGGAGTTCCGCATGTACGAGCAGGTGTGCCGCGGGGAGCTCGCTCCCTCCGCCGCTGCCCAGAGACATCTTCGCTGCCGCCTGCAGAGGAGTCGCTTCGGCTACGCTCCCTTCAAGCTGGAAGAACTGCACGCAGATCCCCCCGTAGTGCAGCTGCACGATACGGTCAGCCAGCGGGAGTCCCTGTTTCTCCAGAACGCGGCCCGACCCCGCATCCAGCGATCCACGGTGTACAACCAAGCGAGCTCCGGCGCCACCGCAGCCGCCTTCCGCACCAGCCAGGGCGCCTCCTTCAACTACTCGCGGTACAGGACCACCCAGCGACTCAGCCAGCACGTGGCAGATCTGTCCGGCCTGGACATGGACTATGCCGAGAACCTGCAGATCGCCAACTACGGCATCGGGGGCCACTACGAGCCGCACTGGGACAGCTTTCCGGAGCATCACGTGTACCCCGAGGACGATCGCCATGGCAATCGCCTGGCCACGGCCATCTACTACGTGAGTTTGTGACTACCCGAGGCCTTAAGCCGAGTCTACAGATGGTCAATCGCTTACAGCTCTCCGACGTGGAGGCTGGCGGCGGTACTGCCTTTCCCTTCTTGCCACTGCTGGTGACTCCAGAGCGAGGCAGCCTGCTCTTCTGGTACAATCTGCATCCATCTGGGGACCAGGACTACCGCACGAAGCATGCCGCCTGTCCCGTCCTTCAGGGCAGCAAGTGGAGTAGGTTTATACGCTCCACAGGGTTACACTTCAAAACAGATTTAATTGGTTTCTCTCTCTCTCTCTCTCTCTGTAGTTGCCAATGTGTGGATTCGCGAGCGGAATCAGGATCGTGTGCGGCCCTGCGACCTTCAGCGGAACCACCTCAGCTCTTTGCACTTTAAGAACTTTGACTGAAAACTACTCAAGCTACTCATTAAAATAGGTAATTAGTCTATTAAGATTTCCGATATGCCGCGGACTTGAAGCTATCGGAAGTGAGGTTGCACGGCCTGCGGAACTCCTGATGGCCCGAGTGTATCCAAATGTTTCCAACTGCGAAGAGATTAAAAGTGATACTCGATCAAATTGGTAATCAGAAATAATGCAATTTTGACATACTGCGCTTGGAGCCCACAATCACTGGGCAGCCGGCATGGTAGGTGCGCGGATCCACGTCCAGTGAGCGATGCAGATTGTGCCACATGACCAGGGCGCCCTTGATGGGTGGCAGAAAGACATTCAGCTTGGTGAAGACCGTGTAGCCGCCCTGCTCCACATTAGAGAGCTGCAATACAGGGAGCAAATACTGATTCCAAATGCAAAATAGATGAGGATGCCGCCACCTACATAGAACATGCTGGTGGAGATGCGATCTCCTTTGAAACTCGTCGGTAGGTTGACCTCAAAGTAGTCTGGATGGGGCTCGTACTGTCCGCCCACGCCGTAGTTGGCCACCTGCATGGGTTCGGCGCCGGCCATGTCGAATCCGGAGATGTATGCCACCAGGCGAGCGATGGATTTCATAATGGGACTCTCGTAGTCGAGCCCCGTCTGCTGGCTGACTCGAAGATCAAGTACGGTTCGCGTGCCGCCGGCTCCAGTCACCCCAGAGCGTGTCATTTGCAGCTTGTCCGCCTCCTCGAAGATGGAATCGATTTGATCGAGGGTCAGAACTCCGTGATACACGTTGATGTCGGGCTCCAGATGCACCTGCTCCACCTGGAGGGGGGCGAGCGTGAAGTACGCGTGCCTCTTGCCATCGAGGAAGCATCGTAGTGGACTTCCGTCTCCCTTCTCGGGCAATGTTTTGCCCTGACAAAGCCTCGTGTAGTTGGCGAACCATGAGGGATCTCGCTTCTGCTGGTCACTCCTTGACCCTTCCCTGTGGTCCAAATAATTTCGTATGTGCTGTGCGGGATGGGTGGGTTCGGCCTGCAGCACCTTCTCTAGAAGTCTGCCAGCTCGCTTGGGATTTCCCAGCTCAAAGTTTGCCAAGGCCGCATATTCCCTGATGTCAGCCATGAACTGGGAATTATCGTCCTCATCCATCTCTGGATTGGTCCGGAGAAGGTTGAACGCCACTTGGAGCCACTCCAACGAGCGCCGATGCTCTCCTAAATCGAAGAGTTGCACACCAATCTCGTAGCACTCTCGCCAATCCATTGCGGAGTCGTAGAAGTAGCCGTTGATGATGCCATCCGCCAGGTCCGAGGCGGTCAAATTGTAGACCCTCTGTAGTCGAGCCACGCCCTTGACGACACCCTGAAGCTCCGACAGATCGGGAAAGCCCACTTCTTTGGACAGGTTATCGACCACCTGGCGATAGTCTGTAGAGGATGTAGAGGAACATGCTCTTAGGGGAGTCAACTATAGCCTCTTATGATTAATCACCTTCTCTTGGTTTGTTTTCCACCAAAGGAGCGTGCAAGGCATCCCAATCGTAGACTAGTCTCTTAATCAGCCTGAAAGCGTGCAGCGGATGCCCCAGATAGTCATCGAGATTTGCCCCATCCATGGCCATGTGATGTTCCAGCTTCAGCTGCTCTACAAATCTGCCAAAAGACATCAATCCCCAGTTTCGAGTGACGCCAATTTGTATTGAATTACTTGCGGAATAAATTAATCTGCTGCTGCTGGGCATTCAGATAGGAACGCGTGACATTCAGCAGCTCCAACTCCAGTTGGCCCAGGTCCTGCATGCTGTCCACAGACGAGTAGAACTCTGCACGGGCTCGAACAGTGAGCAGAAACAGCCACAGAGACAGGCAGCACCAAACACGATGTGACATTGTGAAATGAGGGAAGTGACTGAGACTGAATGGAGCTGATGGCTATTTCTAGAGCCCGACCATCTATCCATGGCCCAAAAGAATGATATTCCATTTATAAACTGTCACGTATCCAAAATAAAATGCTCGGCAAACAAACACAAGTGCGGCTAAGTAAACAATTCGCTCACAGCGCTCCCTCTCTTCCTCCGTCATTTCCCCACCGAAAGAGAAAGCTGCAGATGGGCATTTGAATACCCTGCCATCGTAGGGTGCAAGAAAGTGTACTCCTCCGTTTAGCTTTGGTTCCCCATCCCATCCACATGTACTTCATAATTCTGTTCACCCCCACACAGCACTCGCTGGTTTGTGCCTGCCGCATGGGTGCACTTTTCACTTGGCAAATCAAATTTGCCGTCGCTGTCGCAGAGCATGCAACGCGGTCCTCGTAAGCCGATTTATATGCATGGACACACAGCTGCAGATGCACACTCCCACACACACGAACACATACGTATGTGTACATATCATCCGTCAACAGCTGATGGAACCGAAGCAAAGCTCCTCTTACCGCACTGCACTTGATGAATGAGCCCTGGGGGCAGATGGATAGTCAGTGGGCGTGTGGACACCGCCACTAATCGAGCATTAGCGTGAGGAGGAAAGCACTCGAAGAGGGGGTCGCAAGGGGTTGCGGTTCTGTTATGGTTTGGTATTCCATTTATTGAAATTTGTTCTACTATTTAAACTAGGCAATATACAAAAGTAGATAAATTCAATAGGTTTCTATGATATAGGTATGGACAGTCCATGCAGTCCGTAAGTGAGTACAGAGTAGAAGAGATGCCGCTGCAGCTGCCTCCCAGCTGGATGCTGTATGTACAATAGGAATTCGATGGCCAGCCTGCAAGGGCGTGGGAGAGATTGAGAGGGATGAGATTCAGAGGGTCCTCTCCGCACTTAAGATTCGTTGCTTTCTATTAACTAGAGCCCAAACTAGATGGCAAAGTCGCCACTGTCCTCGTTCAAGGCACAGGGCCGTCGGAACTCCTGCCCACGCTCGTGTATCCACTTGTTGGAAACTATTCACAAAAAAAAGAGCAAAGCATGTTGAGAAAATTCTTCCAGAAAACTGTACTTGTTACTGCTATGGATAACCCACCCCATTTGGTGCCCGTTAGGACGGGACAGGCGGCGTGCTGTGTCCTCTTGTCGCCCTCGCCATCCCGATGCAGATTCATCCAGAAGGCAGCTGTGCCCCTCTTGGGCCACAAGGCAGTTCGAAGTGTGGTGAACACGGTGGCTCCCCCCTGCTCCACATCGCTCATCTGCAAGGAATCGGAATAGGAAATATAGGATATAAATGGCTAAAGAATCAGAAAAACTCACGTAGAAGAGGACAGTGGCAATGCGATTGCCCAGATTAAGGCCCTCAAAGGCGCGCTTCTCCTCTCTCTGCAAGGATTTGAAATTAATTGATTATTAAGCAGAAAGGGAAGGGAGTTAAAGGGGCCACTCACCCTGGCAAAGTCAAAGTGCGGCGCGTAATGGCCACCGATTCCGTAGTTGACAACCTGCAGCTCCTCGGCCGACTCCATGTCCAGGCCGGTCATGTCCGCGGTGCGCTGCACCACCTTCGCAATCACGCTATCCTCATCGGTCTTCAGCCAGGCCGACTTGCTGATCCGATAGTTGGCCGTCTCCAGGGCCCCGGTGACCGAGTTCTGGACGGTGGCGCGACGGAAGCGCGGGCGGGCCATGCGCTTGATCAGATCCATCTCACTGTCGTACATGGCGTCGTGGTAGATCACGATGTAGGGATCCTTGTGGGCCTCCTCCAGCTTTAAGGGTCCCAGCCGCAGGAAGGGCACATTGTTGGTGACGTAGCGGCAGCGCAGCGATCGCATGTACGTCGGCGAGGGCTTCAGCTCCCCGCGGCAGAGCATCTCGTAGGACTTGCGCTCCTTCACGCCGAGTTCGCCGGTATCGCTCCTGGCCACGGGCTGTAGAGGCAAACCAATCAAATCTGTCAACATTCGGAAGCTGCTCGCAATTTCCTTACCAGATCGGAGACGGGCATTTCGTCGGTGCCATCGTCGCCCTTCATCTTCTTCATCTCCTTCTGGTGGGCGATCTCCTTCTCGTAGAAGCGCTTGTTGCCATTAGCCCGCTCGTGGTTCGGCAGCAGCTGCAGCAGCTCATTGGTCATCACCAGAGCACTCTCCACGTTGCCTGCAGGGGAAAGTATGTTTCAAAAGTTAATTCCATCCACAAAGTGACTGCCCGAAAGTATGCTACACTGTGGCTCTACTTTGGGGTGCATTTTCCAGTTGGAAAGTTTCTTTCCCCTCCCCTTACGACATGCAAACTTGAATTGGATTGTTTCTGTGTTGCTCGAAAAGTTGCTTAGTTATTCATTTGCGATGCTGTTCATGGCCCCAGCCACGACTCTTTCTATTTCCCTAATAAGTTTGCCCGACACTTGAGGCCGCACTCTACTCTGAGGAGCAGAGGAGCAGAGCAGGAGGCTCCAACCTCAACCTCAACCAAAACTCTGAGACCTTGTCAGAGGCAGAAATTTAAATTTCCATCTCCCCTGCCCACACATGTGCACTGCTATCCTCCTGGGAAGAGGGTTGGCAGGAGGGGTGACAGAAAGCCTGTCACTTGCCTCAGGGGCGGACACATTTGTGCGCCTGTGTGTGTGTTTTTTTTGCTTGCCGTCCTTCCTCAACACAATATGGCGGCACTTCCGCTACGCCCTGGACCCGCCCATAAGTTGTGTGCCACGAAAAGTGGCACGCAGTGTAGCTACATATGCGTGTGGCTGGCAACTCTTTGATGAACGGATAGGGGCACAATTCATGGCAATCCTTGGGTAATAAGACGCTCATAAACCACCATGAGCCATGATGAGGCTGAGGATGGGCGGTGGACGTGCCTGGGGCATGGCTCTGACTGCGTGGCCAGGGGGCTGCTCTTAGCCACAACATTGTCGCAGCGACTGCCGATGGCCAACAGTTTTTCGCACTTAATGCCTGGCTCTTAGTGCATCTCGAGTCACCTGGCCGGCTGTGAAGTCTGGCATGAGTGCAATTTCCTGCAGCCAAATGGACCTCAAAAGTGCCATGCAAACGAGTCGGGACAACAACGAGAGTAAACCGGCGGATGCTTACCCTCCTTGTAGGTGGAGAATGCCAAGTACTCCAGCACATCGGCACGGGTAAAGGTCTGGGTCTGGTTGAGGGGCTCCTCCAGCATGCGGGACATCGCCTCGTTCATCCAGAGCACCGTGTGGTGGTAGTCGTTGTTCACGTACGACTGACGCCCCAGTTCGAAGCAGTCGTCCGAGGACATTTCCGTGCTGCAGTACGGTAAAGGATGGTCATTCTGGTTCTATACGTGGCTCTTTCTCTCTCTCTGTCTCTTCACTTACCTGTACTGAATCCCGTTGAGCTTGCCACGTGCCACACTGGATGTGTCCAGCTGGTAAGTGTCCTGCAGCCGCAGCAAAGCCACCGCCGCCCCGTTGAGGTCCTCGTCCGAGGGGAACTTCAGCACGTTCCGATACTGCGTCAGATTCTGCAGGAAGTCTAGAGGGGGGGAAGATAGATGTCATTGATGTCATAGGCATGGACAGACCTCTCCAGCCCCCACTCACCAGTGCCCACGTCGTGCTCCATTAGGTTCTCCACCTGCCGCCAGTCCGTGGTCAGCCGCTTGGTCAAAAGGTAGGCATTGATCGGGTTCGAGACGTAGGCGGTTATGTCGCTGGCCGCGTCCGCGTGCTCCCGCTGGTACTCGTCCATTTTGCTGGAGATGAAATCAAAGAAAGTTTCCATAAAGTTCACTAAGTGTTTTTTCTCGTGAGTTTGAAATTCCCATTAGAACAGAGGATGAAGTTTTCCCAGCAATCAAGGAAAGGATTGAGAGCTTAACTGATACGAGTATGCCATAAGTTTGGAATCGAAAGAACCCTCTAAGAAGTGGTATTGAAGGGCCTTTATTTTGAAAGTTCTTATCGTTAGTTTCCATTAGCCTAGGGGTGAGGTGAACAATAATTTAGGAGAGTGTTTAAATTAAATTTAGATTAAAAACAAACTATCATCTAGTCGTAAGGTAAGGTAAGTACAACCCACATGGTATTTACAGTCTCTTTTGGGAATAAACTCTCTATGAATAATACTAGTTTTGGTCTTTTAGCCGTTCCGTGTGCCGCGTGCTCGAAGGAAGGGGGAATCTATAATCTATTTCGGGGAACTTATGGTACTTTCTACTCGTAGTGTGACGATCCTTAGACCACGTTGACGCGGTTGTCTGGCGGGGGACGGTAGCACCAGAGGCTGCCCATGACGCCCAAGCCGATGAAGAACATGGTGAAGGTGGAGAGGCCCAGGATAACGCCCGTGGTGACGTCGTGGAGCGGCAGGCCGGGGAATGGGTCCAGCACGAGGATCACCAGCAGGCCGCAGCTCTTGAACAGACAGAACACGGTGACCAGAATGTAGCCGGAGGTGTAGCTCCGGTTCGGCAGCCACTCGCAGTGACGCGATCGGAATCCGAGGAATCCCAGGCCCACGCCGCAGAAGGAGGCCACCAAACCGAATTGCAGATAGAAGGATTTGCCAAACTGTAGAAGGAAACGAAAGGTTATCGAGGGATTCTTCGAAAACTCATGGATTGCTCGACGGTCGACTTACGTGGGCTATCATGTAGATGATGAGGCCGGCGTTCATGGTGCTGCCCAGGACGAGCATCAGTGAGACGACGGCCAGAGTGATGGTGGCATTGGCCAGCTTCTGGGGGTAGGAGTTGTTGTTCTGAGGCTTGCCCTGGATGCTGCTCATGTCCTGCTCCTGGTCACGCTCCTGCTCCTGCACCCGCGGACTGATCACGGCCATGGAGCGGTCTGCCAGTGTGGCTGGAGCTGCCTTCACCGTCTCGTAGTGGAGTCTCTGCGGTGAGAGTCGGTTCTGGCGGAGCGGCAGTGTGGGCGGAGGCGGAGCAGCGACCTGGCTGAGGATCTGCTGGCTCTGGTAGATCTGCAGGCGCCGCTCCAGCTGCAGCTGCTCATGGTGGGCAGCGTTGCGGGGCGTGGAGTGGGCCAGTCGCGGCGGTGGCTGCATCTTCCTTGGCGTGATGAGTAGCTCGTGGAGTGCCCGAGTGGCGGCCGCTGCGTTCCTCTGCTGTGGCGTCGAGGTCCTTGCGGCGTACTGCTGACTTAGCTCCGAGGTGCTGAGGCAGGTCTCCTGCTGCTGCTGCTGCTGCAGCTGCATCAGCGAGGACTCCTCCTCGGCCAGCTCCGCCTCCTCCGCGTCCGTGGGTATCATCGCGTACCGATGGGCGCGACCGTTGTGCATCTGGATGATCTCCTGGTTCTCGTCCACCAGCTCCTCGTCCTCGGCCGTGGGCACCATCTGGTAGCGTTGGTTGCTGTTCTTGTCCACGATGAGGAACGTCTTGCTGCCAAAATCGCTGCTGAAGGCGTGCTTGATCTTCGTCTGTCCCTGCTGTCCCTGCAGTCCCTGTTGCCCTTGGCTGGCGATGGGCTTCGCAGGCAGAGCATTCAGCATGGGCGGCAGGCTGGCGAACTGCGTCTCCTGGTGCGGCTCCTCGTGGAAGGAGTGGGGCTCCTCGTCCGACTGCAGTCCGTACCTAGATCCATAGCGATCGAGGTTGTCCTGAGACCTGGCCAGTCGCTGGGCCGCCTGTCCGGGCACTATGGCGTATCGGCTGGCTCTGCTCACGTTCAGCTCCTCCAGGGGCACCAGTGCATAGCGACCACTTGAAGATTGTTGCTGCTGCTGCTGTTGATGTTGCTGTTGCTGGTGGTGGTGGTTCTGTTGCAGCTGCTTCTGCTGCTGGTAGTTCTGTGTCTGCTGCTGTTTCCGCGTCACCGATCGCGTGGACATGCTACGCTGCATGCGCAGGGGACCCTCGCGGGGATCGCGACTCGGCGAGGGCGCGACATGGGCCGGCCGAGGGACGGCGCCGAAGTTCAGCTGCAGACTGCGGTTGTAGATGGACTCCACGCGACTGTTGCTGTTGCCGCTACTGCTGGGCACCGGATAGAACTCGCTGTTCTGGCAGAAGGCCGGGTTCGTGTAGTTGTGCTGCGACATGATCTGGAGTGGATGGCGTCTTCCAGGGGGTGCGTTTCACTTCACTTATTCTCTGTACACTTTCTAGGGTTCACTTTCTTATGGCAAGCTCCGTCTCTTGCTATTTCCGATCCGCTCGCGACGACAACTGCGACTCGACTGAACCTAGAACTGTGGAAATGTCGGCTCCTCGACTTCCTGCGCAGTCGCGCAGTCGCGCAGTCGAGTGGATCGTGCCTGCCCGCGTACCTTCCCGTACCCCCCACTCAGCCATTTATCCATTTATACATAATATACATATAAAAGAGCCCTCTGCCGAGACACCCGTATTCCGTTTGGCGCGTTCCATTAAGCCAGAAACCGAAAACAGAAACATCTGCTCCTGCCTTTGCCTTTGCCTTTGCCTTTGCTCCCTCTTCGGCGAGGGTTGAAACGAATCGAAAGGCAGGAGCAGCAGCCGGCATACCATGGGCTACGTTCTCTTTATCAGCACTGCTCGTACGTATAATTCTTATTTACCAACTCATAACCCACGTCGAGTATTCTCCCCCCTCGAATTTAGTGTCGTGCTCTTTCTGTGAAAACCTCCCCAGCGAACGGCCGCGTATGGCCCACCCTTGGCAGCGACCGTTACATTTCAGTGGCAGAGCAGAGCAGAGTAGATCCCATATCTCCCAGTTCATTTATCCTGTATATCCTTATGCATATTGCATGCATATTGCCGTGGCTCCATCTCTATGTGCAAATGCATGGACATATCCTGGCAGGGCAGGGCAGAGCTCCCGCAGATTTTTCTTTGTGCTGTGCTGGGAAATTTAATTGAGTTTCGCTGGCCAAAATCAAATCAAAATTGCAATGGATGAGGCGGTGGCCAGTCAGTGGGCGATGGGGCAGCTGTCAAAGGGATTAGCCGGGCGGGCGGGCGTGCGGGCACTGGCACTGGCGCTGGACAGCTGTCCCGCCGGGGAGATGTCAGTTGGAAAATTTAAAGCGGCATTAAAACTTCAACTCCTGCCAGCAGACGGACGGCACGCGCCACAAGCCACTGACAGAGAAGTGTATGCCACAGATACATGGCCATAGAGAGAGCAAGATGATGATGGTGAGAAGAAGCTGAGACGCAGAGACAGAGAGAGAGAGAGGGAGTGGCAGAGAGGGAGCGACAAAGAGGGACTTCAACTGCAGGGCAATGACAGCGCACAAGGATACAGGCACACAGACACAGCTACAGATACAAAGGCAGAAGCGACAGGCAAACAGCTGTCAGCTGTTGTGAGGATCTCCTGTCTTGTCCTTTGTTGTGACAAAGCCGAGGAGCGACAGGAACAGGAACATCCAGATAGATCCTGCCTGACTGTGCCTCTGCTTCGGTCTGGATATGGCATTATTTGATTAGGGGAGTTGCCTCACCGCATCGCATCCTGCACCTCTCTGCTCACCGCTCTGCGCTCCCCCATTTGCTTCCGCTGCCACATACAAACACGCAGCTACATTTGTACATAAGAATAAGCATGGGGAAAAGGAGAAAGATGTTTATCTTGTAGATGTATCTACACATGAGTGCAGATATTGACTATGTTTGGGTGTATCTCTATCTGCGGGCGAAGTGCAACAGCTGCCGCGGCACGCACGTGGCAAAAGCAATTACCAGAATGCACCAGAAGACTACCTGAGATCCCATTCTATTGCCAGCCCCATCCCAATCCCTCATTAGAAGACATATGAGATATTCGCCTCGCACTAATTTGCATGAGGAATGGAATTCATGGGCAATGGCAAAGACACAGTCAGAGACGTATTTATGTGAAATTTAAGACTGATTAAGCGAAGGCCATTAATCTGTATCGGTGTCTGTATCTGCGACTCATGCAAAGCATAAATACTCACTTCTTGAGGAAGCTCAGCTTGTCCTCTTGTACGCGGATGTAGCCCTCCAGGTTGGTTATCAGCACGGACTCAGTCTCAAGCAGCTCCTCCATCTCCGCCAGGGCCGTGTACAGCTCCCCATTCACGGCCACGCCCACCAGCAGCAGGCAGAGCCCGCCTAGCACTTGCCAGTCCACAGACATCTTTGGATCTGAAAGTAAAAGAAGATTTAAACATTGAGTGAAAGTTAAAGACCCCCGAAAATGTATGTGGAATTAGCGACTGCGTCTCCAGCCATGTGTAAGGCGGCGACCCCTAGTCGCAGTCCAGGAACCTTCTCACAAATGGGAAAGCGAACACGAAAGCGAAGCTCACTGAACTCGAAAGCGGCTTTCATATTGATTAATATCACTTTCAGACCAGCTCATAGAACATCAGAACAGAACATAAGAGGTTTTCAGTGGAGCAAATATCAGGACTGGGACGGGGTTTTGTTTGGGGACAATTTATTTTAATGAGCGTTTTTTAATTTGCGCTGCCATCCAGCGGATTGTTTTATGGCGATTGCTTTACTGCTGTCACATACAATAAAGCGGGTAGAAGATACAGTTATTCTCTGGGATGCGGGGACGTGAAACTGCACTGGAGAATACTCTGCTCAAAGACTATCTCTCATGGATAACATTAAATGCAAAATAACTTAAAGGTAAAGGTCAGAGGTACCAAAATGTACTCCCACCTCAAGTCTACCTACTGACAATACCTTTAACTTTAATAGAATATTTTCCTAATCATTGTCGAATGGATAGCTCAGTGAATGTACCTCAATCAGTCACCTGTGCGAGGGGGTCCCTGTCCGTGCCTCTGTCTCTGTATCTGCCATTCAAGTTCCGTTTTCGGGTGTGGGGTGCATGGATTGCGGCTTGGTTAACTTGCCAATAAATTTAAATTGATATTAATTAGCAGCTCGCTGTTAATTCGCATCTTTAAGATAAACGCGCTGCGTTGTTATTTTTGGGGAATTCGATTAGCATATTAAAGCGGCTCCTCTGTGCCTGCGCCTGCGGTGGGTCCCAGCCTGTGGCTTTGGTTGTCCCTTCCCTTACCTTTGCCCACAGCATCTTTTCTCACAGGATTGGATAGGCTCTCCAGAAAAGTGCCTTGTTGATGAATTATTATCAGAAATAATTAATTTTTTGGCTCACACTCGAAAAGGTAATTGCTCACATTAATCAAGAGTGCGGAGTGTGGAGTACGACTCGGAGCACTCTCTACAATAGAGTCCGATAAGATATGTTATTAAAATGTTGCTCCTCATCGGATTCTGCAGAAGTTATGGCTGCGATTTATGTCGTCTAACACTTGTTAAGCGGACACAGGCTGTCAGCAAATATTAAATAATCTTTCGCCCGGTCTAACCATCGGATCGTAGCAAACCGGTTCGGATCAGAGATCTATTCCAATTTCCATTTCAAGTCGGAGTCTGTCCCCAGTCCGATGTTCGATCATAATGAGAGCAGCGGTAAAGTTTTACGACTCGGACATTAAATTCTATTTAATTTGATTTGATTTGCCTGTTGATTTTGGGTCGTCTCCAGATCAGAGATACTCATAGAAGCAGGCCCTGCATCTAGGCGGAGCGGAGCGGATCGGACCAAAAGATGAATTGGGGTTCAAAGAACTCCGTTAAATATGCAAATGTATCCCACAGATACGCGTCGCTGGTGCAACAGAACAGAACAGAACAGAAATCTTTCATTGTGGATGGACATATAACGGAGCTCCCACAGCTCCCTCTCTGCCTCTCGCTGCCTGCCCCTCTCCGGACCACACGTTACACAATCAAAGTTATTGAAATGCAAATATCTATTCCATCCGGAGTTCTGGTTGTGGGACAGGTTCCCCCATCCCCCATCCGCCATCCGCCACCATGACATCTGTAGCGTGTGCCACTGAGCAAAATCTTCTCTTAACGGGTTCACTGAACTGCTGATCGGCGATCGGTGGTCGCTGTAGAAATATTGCATTAAGCAGTTTTTAATGCAGTGAGTTGCATAATTGGTGCTGAAGCACTGAAGTGTTTGCAAAAAGAAAGGATGGGAAAGCAATCAAAGTACTGTACTGTACGATCAGTGCTGATACCTGAACGGATTTTATGGAGTATTCATTTAAATTAAGCAATTTCAGAAGATCTATCTATGATCCAATACAGGCACTTATCATATTTTACCTGTTATTAAAACGAATATGCCATAGATCCATCTATTTATGGATACTTTTAAACATATTCAGAAGCACCTGCCACCTTGTCTGGCCCAAGCCTCGATAGGAGCCGGCTTTCGACATTCGATTGCTCACATTTCTGGTCAACCAAATTAAGGTTCGAATATAACTGAAACTAAAACGGGCTTCGTCCAAACAGAACTCAAACGGCAGTTGAACGAAATTGACAATCACAATGGCAGATCAAACAGAACTGGATTCGGTGCACAGTATTCAATATTCCCATTCAATATGCGAAATTATCAATATTAAACGCAAATAAATTTCGCTAGTGAAAATGTCAGCCGGCTCTAATTACCATAGATACTGGGCTGGGGCTGGGGCTGTGGCTGCGGCTGCGGTGGCTGTCATCCAGAAATGTCAGAGGATGCACATGAAAAGTCGAAATTGTATTTGATTTGATTTAATTTCATTTTACTAATTGGTAGAAAATTACAAAGTGCAACTGGTCGGAAAAAGTGTATAAATTGATGCATTTACCTTTGGGAAATGGGAAATTCAAGTATAAGTGACAATAGTTCGGTTTGACACCATAATTATTAACAACAAACATTCGATGCAATGCAATACTGATGGCCAAACCCAAATTGGCTGCATCCAGAGATATTTATTTGATTAAAATATTCAAAATAACTCCGTGGCGAAGATGAATATTGGTTTAGGAGACTCAATTGGGAATAATTTATGTCTCTTTCAGAGAATTCCTTGCCTTTCACCATCTTTGTAATCAATTTTCAATCACGCCTCATCATATACAACACCCTCCACCCTCCACCCTCTTTTGTACACAGTTTTCTGCAGTGCGAAGTCCATTGGGGATTGGGGCATAATGCCCCAATGGACTTTCATCATCGGACTGCACTTTTCACAATGCCCACGCCCAATTTTCACAGTCCGCCCACGAAGCATACGCAATCGGAGCCTCAAAAAAAGCTGCCTCATCAATTTTTGAGTTTCTGGCTTTCTGGTTTGCGTGTTGCACTTTTCTGGCTCGCTTCTGCCGCTTCTGCCGGGTTTCTGCTTGGGCTGGCCAATGCGTCAGCTTTTCGCAACACAAAAACAATTTTGATTACTTGCGGTAGACTCTTCTGTTTCTTTTCCCTCTTCTTTATTTTATTTTGTTGCACTGCACTTTTCCGCAGAAGGAAACGTAAGTAAATGAATTTTCAGCTTTTTGTTCCACAACTTTGTTACCGTGCGGCAATTAAGTTATGAAATATTTTGTGCAAATCGCTGACTAAGCTCGACCCACTGACTGACTAAATAGATGACTGAGGGATGGATGGATGGGTGGAGCGATGGGTGGCTTGGTTTGCTGAAAAATCAAGTAAGTGCATACATACATATAATCGTACGGTAGATACAGATATTCAGATACGTTCGTGGTAGGTGCCAACGAACGAACACTATCCAGCCCAGTCAGCAACAATTGCAACGACTGTGACACGGCGACAAGACACTCAGTAAGCCCTTCCTGCACTGAGCGAAACAAAAGTGGGATCTACAATCGAGTTCTTTACATACATAAGTATGTAATGTATGCATGGATGTACATACATGTACATATGTATGTATTTTAGTGACAAACTTAATTCCAGCTATAGTACTTCCCCTTTCTCCTCCTGTCAGCTTGCAATAACGACAAAAAACAGTGTCCTTGCTCCACAGTAAGCCACAGTAAAAAAACAAAGTGTCAACCGCTGACCTGAATCGGGTGCATTGTCTGAGATGGGATCCATCCCATCCCTTGCTGTGTGTGGGTGGATGGGAACATTTGTCCACTTCTGGGAGCATCCACTGTGCATGTCACAATGGTCCCCTGCTTATCGTAAAAAGCATATTTCCCTGCTTCCTATGCTGTCGTCCCCACCGCCGCCGCCGCCGCTTTCCCTTCCTCCCACTCAAATGAAACCGTCGACATGCGGCGGAAATTCTATAAAAATGCAACGGGACAATTTGAACAGCCCGACAGTATTATTCAGGTGCAAATGTCACAGGACACTGGGATGTTCGAGCTCGGATTGCTTTGGCAAGGCCAACTGCCAGGCAGGCAGGAGCCTCTGCCCATCCTTAACCCATCCATTCATCTGGCTCGCCTCGCTTGGCCCACACTATGTCGTCCATAAATTTAATGACCAGTAGAGGTAGCTGCTGAGATGGCCGGTGCCATAGTCATAACTCAAAAGCAGCAGCAGCAGCCGCACAAACAGCAGAAACGGCAGAAACAGCAACCAGTAGCCAGCAACATTTATGAGCCACCAAAAAAGACACAAAACTATGCATCCGCATCCAATTGGGAGCTGGGCCCAGACTCTGCACTGTGAGAGAGTTGTGGAGACTCCGCTGGCTGTTAATGTGGCACGAAGTCGCCAAACTGCTCCCCCTTTAGTGTCTGTCTGGTAAATGTCAGAGCCCCGGACTGACCTTAGCCATGCTTCCATTGCTCCTCTGATTCGCTTCTTTGGCTGTTGTGACATTTGCCCATTCGGAATTCGCTTTGGGTACGGCTTCCTCTGACTCCGACTCCCCACAACTCGATTTGGCCAATTTGCCTGATCGAATGCATAATTAAAATCGAATTGACGGCAGTGCTCAGTGTTCAGCTTCTCTGGCCTCTCCTCCACTGTAATTTGATGCAGAGTCGAGTTTTTCTTATAATTCAGTGACTTAATGGGCTCGTTAGACGCGCCTCGTCTCTTCGATTAACACATTATCGTCATTATCAAACACATGTCTTGGATCTGCCCTAACTTTAATGAGGGGCGCTGCGCCAAAACAGAAGATTGGATCCTTAGACAGAGGACTGATCTGAATGGATAGAAAGGCTCTGTCTAGGGATGCCCTCTATCCCCACCTAACTGACTAATTTTGTGCATATTATTCAAACAATTTTGTTAAGTGTAATTCGCTTAGCCTTGCCACACGTTGCCAACACAGTCTGAGGTCAGAGCACATCCCCTCCAGAATCCGACCGCCGACAGTCACTCAGTCACCCAAGGGTAATGTGATTTGTCAGCTGCAGGCAAAAGTTACACTTCTACGAAGTACGAGGGCGTCCATCTATCCATAGAGAGAACAGAGAGCAGAGTGTACGAGAAACTTTTCAATTCCATAAGCGTTAATTTGATTGCGCTGAACTTTTATGGAAGAGAGACCCAAACGCAAACCCAAACCCGCCGCCCCTTTGGGTGGGGAAAGTGGCATCCCATTCACATTAAAGATTCAGATGGGGCGGCAGGAAGCATGGAAGCAAGGATCCGGGGAGAGCGAGAGCATTTCAAGTGCATTCAACGAGTTTTGCTAATTAGCGATGAATGACAAATGTGCGGGGGGACCCAATCCAAATCCCAGTCCCCTCCCTCTCCGGATCCTCATGCCAGATGCCAGACAGATGCCGTCATGGAGTGGAGCGTGTGCACACATAAATATTACAACTCACCTTGAAATGTGAGCATAAATGAAAATGGCAGCGCAAACCGGTCCAAAGTGTTCATAAAAAAGCCAGATATGAAGATGAGCCCGAGAGGGAGTCGTGGAAAGTGGAAGGGGGCGAGGCACTTGGCCAGACAGCAGAGAAGTGGGCCAGTGGGAGCTGGAGCCCCATTCGATAAGTAGTCAACACTTTCATTGCAATCCCACTCCACATCTGCACTTGCACCGGGGGTGACTTTCGCTTTCAAATCATCTTCAGATATGGACTGGGACTCAGACTGGGACTGGGTGGAGATGGTCCCAAGATCTACCGCTGTTTGCGGAATTTGCAACATGTGTAACCGGTTAACGGACGACTCTCATTGCTCGACTAATTAGCAAACAAATGTTGGTCAAGTGGCGATGCGATCCGACGAGCGAGCGTACTGTTATTTGCGAAACTCATTAATTAAAACAAATCGCAAGTTAATTGAAGCTATAGGAGCCGCTCTGAGAATCGGCAGTCGACATGCGAGAGAGGGGAGAAATTATTCAAATTTAAAAAGAATATATATTAATATTTTGAATGCGCAGGGTTGTGTCCTGACTAAGCGGAGACACAGGACCCTCGGGATGGTTGGCAAGGCATGCGCATTGAACCAGTTCCAGGTTCCTTGCAGTTCCTGTACCTGTGCCAGTTCACCAACTGAATCCGATTCCTTTCAGTAACGAGGGCGGATTTCTTGTGCCTTTCCAGCAAAACAGAGAGAGAGAAGTGAGTGAGAGAGTGCAAGAGGAGAGAGGAAAAGAAAACCAAAACAAACGCCAACAATTGACTACGTGACCAACGCAGCCTCCCCCTCGTATTCCCCTCGATTCCATGCCTTTTTATAAACACACGCACACAGAAACAAACATATAGAAGCCTATTCCTACACAGACATTTTAGAGTCCAGATATATGTACATATGTATGTATGCATAGACGCTTATCGCCAGCGAAGACAGAAGAGCGGAGGAGCATGTGCGAGTGGAGGAGGAGAGAGCGGTCAAGCTGACAATTGAATGCCTTCCATGTGGTGACAAAAAGTGCATACACGCACAAATACATACAGCTACATATATACATGTAAATAGCATATATAACTGTATGTACATGCACGCTCCCTAGTTAAATGATGAAAAATCACATTCCAGATTCCAAATAGAACACATTTCTCTCTAATCAAAATCGAATTCAATTTTGCTGCCCCAGATTCCGTGTGGGGCATATCAGCTCCAAGACGATCCCTCCCAACAATTTTGTTATCACTGCAAGGCGGAAGCGGGACAAGACACGTCAGCCCCAGCGTCTATTTCTATTCTTAATTTTGGGCAATGTATCTGATGTACATATGGTGCATGGTGGATGAATGGCGCACGTCCAGACTCACCCAAATTCGGTTTCCTTTGGACTTGTTGCTGTGGTTCTTTCTTCTGCGCCTTCAAGGACAGACACCTGACAGACACCTGGATGTGGTTCTGCAGTCCACTTGTGCACTCTTCCCCTTCACACTGACCCTTACACCGCTGCCGATTTTGATAAGGAGCACCACGATTGCATATCTCACAGATACCTTGTCACGTTAGATCGCCTCGGCGACTCACTCACTTAAACTACACAAAATAAATACACCCGGACCACACACAGTCCCTCTAGTCGAATCTTCCAGATACTTTCCGGTCGCTCCTGGTTTTAATTTCTTTCTTGTTTAGTTTCTTAAGAATGCCTTTCTTTTATGTTTTACTGCGCGCCGACTTCTTTGTCGGTTTATTCGGTGGATAGTGGGTGGAAAACAGTGTGACCAGTGGGTGATGTTTCAGGAGTTAAAGTTATAGGGAGACATGCACACGCGACTGGAGCGGTTTTCCTTAAGTTATAGAGTCAACAATACACAGCCAATGCAAATGTTTAACAGATTTCAATTGTTGCTAGCGCGGCCGACGATGAAATTTGAAGCTGTGGTTTCGGGGCGTATGCAGTGTGGCCGAGTGAACGAACTTAGCCCACTAGGCCTCCTTATATTTAAACAGGTGACCAGCTTGATGGAAACAGCGGAAAATCAAATTGTTTGTTAATTTTCCATGAAAATTCATAGTTTTCCTTTGATTAAAACAACATATTACTCTGATATCTTTCACATGAGCTGCGTTAAAAATCTTCAAGTTTCACACAATTCGTGCTAGTTTCGAAGGCCCCCCAGGTTGACAATGGGTTAACGTTTGTTTTGTTGATCAAAAATCATATTCTTTGATTTTGTTATTCGGGCTCATATTTTAAGCAAACTAAGACTCTAAGCATTGCACATATAATTTTATTTGATTGATAGCTTAATTTTTCACAAGGTCGGGTGGGTTTTATGGTTCAAGCTAAAGAGGTCAACACAAAAAAAAGCATAAAACCCACACAAGAGGACATAAATTGTAGGTACTGTTCGAAAATATATTGCAGTTAACATATCGATATATCGATACATACAAATATCGCTGCGGCAATTCTAAAGTGCATTAAAATGTAAAATTATTCAACAATATGGCTGAACCACCGAATCTCACGGCCCGAGAAGTGCAACAGGTATTAGCAGAGATTCTCAGCCATGGCGAGGACATCACCTGGGATCTGTGAGTACCCGCACGGAATCCTTTGTCCCTCACTTGAAATCTATAGATGGCCAATCCCTGACCTGACAGATTGCTGCAGAATCAACGAGACATTCTGAAAAGCAAAGTTGAGGAAATATTTAATCGTCAATTTGGTACATCAGAGACATCAAGAATTCCGGATTACGTTTGGACTCTACGTAAGCAGACTCCGCGAAACAACAGTTCCGTCACTAATCCATATGTATATACATATATTTAGGTAAATACACCAATGGCCAGTCCCTATCTGCGCTGTTCTTTGTGGTTATTGTGAATGGAGTGACCGACTTGAAGAAGGCAGAGAATAGCAGATCCTGGTCGATCCACCCAGTTTTCCGCTGCCGTCGCTGCGTTGGTAATGTCGTACATTAAAGTAGTTTCAAAATGATCCAACTGGATATGCCTATCACTATACTACTTTCAGCCGACACGGATGGAGGGATGAGCAGCAGCCGAGACTGTTGCGTGATGTATGTGGATCAAAGCGGGATCTTTGAGGACTGGGATACATACTTAAAGCGCACAGCTCTTTCCCCAGGGGTTATGGTAACCTGTGATCGAGGCGTCTACAAGCTGATCGATGGCCAGGTTGAGCTAAAAACTTATTTGATAACGGAGAAAATGTACACACGCAATGCGTGCTTCATAACGTCTGAAAGTCTGAAGGCAGCTTCGGAATTGCCTGGAGTGCATCGGCTTTACTCGGCATCAAGCTCTAGATATATATTGCAAGTAAATGAAGTAGAACATATAAGAGCGAGCGACAAAGTGCTATATCTGCTTTTGGTAGGCATCGTATGATACACTTAATCTCTGGTATATGTATGAAAAACGTTCTATTTGTGCTCCCTCAGAGGCGTGTTGATGGGGAGAAGGTCGATACTCCAAGTGCAAGGCTGCTCTCCGAGTCGTTGGTTCTGTTTACGCACAGCGTCAATAACTTTCGCCTGGCGTCTGAAATGGTCAACAAAGCCACTTATCGCACAAGCCTAAGCAGCTACGTACAGTAAGGTACTATCCATGAAGACCTGCCAGACTAATGACTTTGTTTTTGCAGGAACACCTTTAAGAAGATCTCCGAAGAAGCCAAGGCCATGGAGTCGTCCACACAAGGCAGGCTGGACCTCATACGCAGCGTCAATGAGGTACCCACAAAAAAGGAGCTCGAAAAACTATTGAAAACCAGTGGAGTTGGTGGCCACATTTCGGGTGAACCGAAACTACCCGCTGAACCTAGTAAGGTGCCACCAAATCTGCTGCAGATCCGTTCAATCAACATTAATGGTCAGGACATCCAATTGGCCGACTACGGAGAAGCTATCATTGCTAACATCTCAAGCGCTGAGAGCTTCGAGGATCTAATCACCAGCATGGCCGAGCACTGGAAGCCAGACATGTGCAAGCTGGTGCTCCGAATGACGCAGACCTTTGTGGAAAGCACCAAAAAGGAGTTTTGGCTGAAGTACCACCTACCCACGGAATCGGTGCTCTATCAGATCATTCGACAAACACTGAAACTCCATGCGAGCTTGGACCACAAAGAAGTCTCGGAGGCATTGCCCGATATTCTGAGAAGCGTGCGCTGCTATTTCGCCTCCCGCAGTCCCCTTTGTCCACCAGAGTTTCTGAAGAAGTGCCCCAAGTGCGTGGGTTACTACAATGAGGGTACGCGGCAGGTGACTGAATCTGATGTATGATCTGATATATAATATGCCTTACACTTACATATATGCATGTTTACCAAGCGAAGCATTTGAATAGGTTTTTATATCTTACGGCACGAAGGGTGTTCTTTTTTATTAGCTATCCTGTATGAAAATATATTTTTGTATATTTAAAATATCAAATTGAGCAGCGATATTTAAAGAAGTCGCTGTCTAATAGTGATAGTTTTTGTTAATTGCCTTGCATATTTTCGTTCTTAGATTGACATAGATATCCATCTCGTAGACCAGGTTATGTACATTCCTGCGAAATGGCAAGACTCTGGCGGTGTCTTCAAAGGATTGCTTTGCCTGACGCAAGCGGCGATGGATCTCGGCCAAATCGTGCCGCTGTCCAATTGATAACTCCAGGTCATTGGAGACCATGGCCGAGAACAGGCTGGCAGTCTCAGGGGAGATCTTGAAGTTGTAGCCAACACTGAGTCTCTGCTTAGTTGCCGCGTCGTTAATGAGCACCGTGTGGGAAGCTTGCGCAGAGTCGTTAGACTAGGAGTGGAGTGAATATTAATACAATTAGAATTTGTTGTAATAGTTGTGCCTTGGGGCTTCTATTTACCGTTGGTAACGCGCTGGCCAGGCGAAAGTCCCGATTCGCCTTCAGCAGGAAGCACGTGGAGAGCTCGGCATTGGGCACGTACTGATAGCCCTGCTTGATGCGACGAAAGCACGGATGCAGATCCAGCAGCCTCAGGCGCTTTTTTACCTTTGTCGCCAATTGATAGGTGTTCACAATAGGAAGGACTTCGTGTAGAAATTTGTCACACGCTTCATGTGGAGTGAGATCTTCAAACTCGGCCACATCCGTGGACCATTCGTTCCAGGCAGAAACATCCTGTATATAAAAAAGCCGGCCCAAGCCGACTGCGTGCTGAATCAAGCTATCGTGTAGGTGTGCGAGAGTGGTGAGCAATTGCGTTGGTACGGTCGCGGCTCCGATGTTTGCAATGACGATCTCTTTATCTACAGTTTCGCTCATGTTATTTAGTACAAATTAGTTAAATCATAGTTCGAAACGGCTCACACATTCAATGGTATATTTCATAAATCGATACTTATGAAATATCGATAGCCATCAACACATAGCATCAGATATAATTGTTTATTTTAATGTCATTACATTATGCTAAAATACTATTGCGAGTGAACAATTTTAATCAGAATATTATGCGTATTCAAACAGTGCTTTGGTTGGATTTAATTTCTGTATAAATGTGAAGCGATACTTCTATTTCAGTGCCGCCCATCCCTAATAAAATAATAAGCCTAGAAAATACCAAAATGGAGAAAGAACTGCAACAGAAATTTAAACAATAAAAAAAAAACAAATTGTATATATATATAATATACGAATTATATTTTGTATATTTCAATTTATTATATTATATAACCATCGCATCGCGAATCGTCTCCTCAAAGCTTATCATCGACAGCCAGAGAAACTTGGCCATCACTACAAAGTACCCAGCCTGTCCACTTCTGTGTAGCGCCAAAAATTTGAATTTCAACCAAATTGGCAACGTAAATCCTTTATTTGTATATACATACGTACATAAGTATGTATATTTACCAAAAAGGGGCAATGCGCTTTTGACTTTCGCAGCCATTTAATGCGTGCTAATAATTACACTACTCGACAAGATTTTGCCGCTTCGATACAGACCAACATTTTATGAAAGATAATCTGTTTTTTCTATGGCAGAACTTTTTTTTTATGGTTATGAGAAAAAAAAGGCGCTACCTTTAAAAAAAGAGCTACCGTTACAAGAGAATAATTTTAAAATTCTTCAAACAAGTTTTTTTGGTTCGAAGCGGGAACAAAAAGTTTGATTTTGTCGAGTAGTGTTATCTTTCCATTCCGCGTTGCCATTCCTTGTTTTCTTCTGTATATTTCTCCTTTTCTTTCGGACCCGGCAACCACACACACTCGTAAGCTATTGCACCCTCTCTCTTCCACACAGTGTCTGGGTGCTTCGATTTAGTCTTATAAGCATAATTTGAAAGTTCTAGAATCTGGATATGTTTTTATTTAGATGTTGAAATCTAATTACATAACTATTAGTGGGTCTATATTATTATTATTATTACCCGCCTGTGGTCCCTGCCAGATATATATCCATGGCTTTCTTATTTAATATTAGCGTCTCTCGACGCCTGGGTATTGGCTGTATGTTAGGCAGCCGAGTACCGTTTACTGCGTTAAGGCTCATATCAGAGCTTATAAAATCATCAGAGTCATAATAACTAGGAAAATACACCCAATTCCGTGCATCTGCCGCCAAGGCACTGGACGTCGGGCGGGGATCGTCGCCGGCTTCCGACGGGACGACCATTTGGGTTTTCCCACTGGACTGTGATGAACTTGATATGGTTGTGGCACTGTCCTGCCTAGCTACCGACGTCGGCGACGAGGACGAGGAGGACAGATTGAGCTCATGATTGTCCAAGCCGCGGTACAGCCGCTTCCGTTCGCGCTTGGGTTCCGCCACTGCACTGGTCGTCGGGCGGGGATCGTCGTTGGCTTTCGACGAGACCTGCCTAGCTACCGACGTCGGCGACGAGGACGAGGACGAGGAGGACAGATTGCGCTCATGTTTGTCGAAGCCGCGGTTCAGCCGCTTCCGTTCGCGCTTGGGTTCCGCCACTGCACTGGTCGTCGGGCGGGGATCGTCGCTGGCTTTCGACGAGACCTGCCTAGCTACCGACGTCGGCGACGAGGACGAGGACGAGGAGGACAGATTGCGCTCATGTTTGTCCAAGCCGCGGTACAGCCGCTTCCGTTCGCGTTTGCGTTCCATCGGTTCCTTGTGTTTTTTACGCCAAATTACAAAAGCTGAGATAAAGAAAAATATAAAAGTAGTTAGATTAGCTCCTGTGATCAATTTATGTTTAAAGTGCAATTTTACCTCGATCAATATTCTTGCGCGGCACGCGTCCGCACAGTTCTGTTTTGAAAACGTAAAAGAATAGGCGTGTGAGAAGGAGTACAAAAGCTTAGCGATGACCAGGGCTCGGCACGGCCTTATCTATCATCTATTGTGAATAAGCAAGGCTCTGCCGCGTCGCTGCCGCTCACGTACGCGGATATTACAGTTATTCGTACCAATACGAATGTTTTTCGGGGTACCGTACGAAAAAACGGCGCGTTCCCTGCTAAAGACCAACCGTACTTTCCCCCGCCTCCGATTACCACATGCTGCTCTAATTACGCACAGCATGAACATATTCAGGTTTTATGCAATAACTATAGTTATTTAACATTACCATCACCTTATTTTAGCATATTTGTTAATTTTATTACTCCTTCCTCTCTTAATTTCTTAATTGAAAATAGATAAATAAATAAATACCATAAACCATACATATATTTTCTATAGTCACATATTAATATATATTATTTAATATTTAGTTGTTCATTGTTCATTAGGTTCCTATAGCTATATTAGCGAGCTTTCAAACTCCCTTAACGAAGCAAGGAAGCATTCATGGTGCGAAATTTGCATTAAAAGCTTAAGTGTCGACAAGAGGAAATCCTCTCTTACCAAAGCACTCGCATGCACCATTAGGGATCGTTTCAACAGGTGCGAAAAAGGTGGGAGCTTTGAAAAGTTCGTTCTTTTGTACCTGCTTGCCATACCTTGCGGTCACATTCCAGAGAGAGGATTAGGTCAGCAAGATCCTTTCTGTCTCTCCTCATTTTTGCGTCTCAAATGTGAGCAAAAAAAATCCCACAGAAATATCCAAATAAAATGTACAGCCACACTTACATATAACGTAAACCTTAAATCAAACAATTTCAAATATTAATAATGACTCTATCTTAGACTGACATGCTTTTAACCTTCCTTGCAATGCCTTCCTTGTATATACATATCGATCTAGATATATTCTCGGGATCTGCATATTTTTCTTGAGATGGCTTACCAACACAGATGGAATGTTTTTGCATTGATTGGAGGCAGAGACTTCCAAAATTTTTTTAATTCGAGGAAATCCGTCCCTCCATGGGTAGCAAATGTTTAACCCATTGTCGTTTTCTAGTCACAGTTCGTTCCGTTTTGTCGATTGGAATCATATCTCTCGATTTGGAAATTCCGTTTAATATTAAGAGTCAGCTGGAAGCGTAAGCGCAAGTTAATTTTCTTCAAGGTTGTCTCAGTTGAGTACCTATTTTCTGTCGGAGTGTTTAAAAAAGAAGTTTTACAAAAAATCCAGCCCTGGTTTATTCACTTTTACCACTATGTTCTCTCTCTCTCTCTCTCTTTATTTCTGTAATTTTCTGTGTACTATGTATGTATAATGTAAATTTAAATACGCTGCAGTGGCGCCCTCATGGCGCCAGCGGGAACAAACTCAAAATATATGAGTTAATGTTAATGTAAATTTACATACCTGGGCGCGAAGTTCAAATGTGTATCTTATTCTTATATAGGGCCAATCTGAGCGGGAAGTGCAACATTTTGAGACTGTTTTTCTCTTTTATTTTAAGGCCGTTTTGGAAGAGACTTTTGCCCAATATGATCTACCACAAGGTAAGCATACTCCGCCCACTTGTTGCTGTCAAGCCAACACACAAAAGGAGAGTTCAGTGTTCATCTTTCCCGCAGCTGTCAAAGTTTTGCCGAATTCGATGCGTGGAAATTAATGCCCAAAAAAATAAGAGAAGCCCATCAATCTGCAGACAGCTGTCAGCAAACTTTCCCCCCATCAGCCCCACCCACACCAAAAGCCCCACACTCAACCAAACCGAATAGAATCCTGCAGACCCGAATAAAAGGAGCCACATTTTACGTAGCATTCGTTTTCAAATTAAAAGAGCCATCGAAGTGTGAAGAAAAGTTTGCAGCAAACGGAAACGAAATTGAAAACTGTTGCATACTTTAGGCAACCGCAAAACAAGTCCTCGACGGGCAACTGGTGAAAGGACCCCCGCCGCCCACTACCAGCACCCCCTTTGACCAGGTCGAAAAATGATTTCCGTTCATAAATCATCATAATGACGAAGCAGCACACACAGAGGCAGAGGCAGAGGCAGAGGCAAAGCCAGAACCAAATGAAGACGAAAACGTTTGACCAGCGAACGATTGGAGAGTGAGTGGAGAGTGCGCCCCTGCGTTTGTCTGTCACGCACATGGACCAGACTAGACTTATTTCGACTAGAAAGTATCCTCTACTTCAGACTTGAAATTTACTTTTCCCTTTTCTATGCACGACACGATAAAAAATGGGTCGTGCCAAGCTCTGCTGCAATGGGATTAGTTTAGTGTCTAGTATTTACCATAAATTATGGTGTTCAAACATGGACCATGGCATCTATGCTCCACGACTACAGGGTATGCACAGGCCAGAGAGCTGGAGGCTTACACGGGGGCCACACACACGTGCGAGCTGTGCGTGTGACGTCAACAAATGGCGCTGGTGCTGGGAAACGGCACGAAATGAAATGTTTTAATTAGACAAAAGAGCAAAGCAACTATTTGTTTCCATTTCTGTTTCGCCTGTGCTGTTTACTGTCCACAGCCCGCAGCGTTGTTCCCGCTCCTGAGAGGACACCAGAGCTCCGAATTCGACTTGGACTTGGGACAGTGCCAAACCATTTCGTTCCGCAGTTGAAGCGAAGCCTGCAGCTGCTGATAAACCTTCCAGCCAAAGCGATTGCATTCTCTTTTTACCCCACTCTGTGTCTTTGTTTTTCTGTATGTTGGAGATGCGGCGAGAACTGCGTTTCTCGTTTCGTGAAGGGAGAGCTTCACATAGCTCAAGAATTGTGGGGAAAATTGCTCATTCTCTCGGAGATTCCGTATAACTGCAGGTTTATGCATGCCAGACGGTGTTGCCTTCCCTATAATCTCCCTCCCCTCATTCCAGTGGGGTCTCTAGTGCTGCTCCCTCCTGTAGGTATGCGATGGAAAATCTCACCCAGTGTGAGCATCCGTTTCAGGTCGGATTGCAGGACTGCATTCTTAGCCATCTCTGTTGGCCGTCCATCCAACCCTTCCACCCTTCCACCCTCCCTCCCTCTCGCACTGTCTCTTGACGGAATTTCTCCTGGCTTGCAGTTAAAGGGAAAATTGCAAGCACAACAACTCTCGAGTGGACCAGGATGTGTGTGGCAGAAGGAAATCTGAACTTTTCAATGGTTCATTCTTCCCAGTCCCCAGTCCCATTCTTCTGAACTCGATTAGGGGCGGTGCTGAGGAGTGAGGTGGGTGAAATTCTCTTGAAGTCGCAAGAAATCGCTTTCGGTTTTCCATTTTTGCATACTGCCAATGCTCAGGGAAAATTGAGACTGAAACAAAACTTTTCTGCACTTCCGAGAATTATCTTTGTGCGCTACACATGCCGCTCTTTCTGCCTCCCTATACTGCCCCTTCACAGCCTCTAGGTCATAGAGAGTCAACGACACTTGCCACAAAGAGAGAGAGAGAGAGCGAGAGAGCGAGGGAGCGAGAAGTGGGGTTGCCTTGTTGGCTTATAATAAAAAGTACTTCATTTACTTTGTGCAATTTACAACTGTGAAATAAACAGGGAAAAGCCAAGGCCAAGGAAATGTGAGGAGACCAAAAGGAAGTGCGGTCACGCTCTGCACACCCACTCCACTTCCCCCCTTCACCCCTTCTCCACACACACACGCGCTACACAGGGTATACGGGGGGCTGTCATCGCTTTGTTTTATTACCCGTTCGTTCGCTTTCCTTTCAGCTCGTAGCCCTTGTTTCGCTCTCTGTTTTCCCTATAATTTATTTATGCATGTATTTTTATTAAAGATTTCCATGGCGTCGTTGTCGTTTCGTTCCTCTCGTTATCGTGACTGTCGTCAGCCGCCAGTCCCCAGCCAGTTGTTGACAAAGAAATTACTTATTAATCATATTTGAGCGCTGATTCCACAACGCCAAAAGGATCACGAGTGGATGTTGTGGTGGGCCGGCGGCATCCCTATATAGAATATATGTATGTATGAACCACATAAAGATGAGTGTTATCCTTTGGCTTTGTGGGATGTGTCACTCGATAGATAGTAGAGAGCAGCTCTTTCGGTGCCCCATTTCGAAGCCCATAATTGCATTTTCCCATCAGACAGAGAACACAGAGAGATCCATTGGATGTACATATATGTATGTACTATGTATGTACATATTTATGTGTATAGTACAGCCATTTGTCTCGTTTCTTGTCGCATTTCCCTCCTCGCTGCGTTTTGGGGATGGATAGCCGAAAAGACATTTTCGAAAATTAATTTTAGAATATTTCGTCTTTCGTGTGTTTCCCGCTTTGTTTACCCATCGCACCACGGGGAGAGGGGTGATAGGGGGCAGGCATTGGAACACTTGTCTTTCATATGTCTTGCAGTCCCCCAATGCGATACAGGAAGTCCGCACGGTGCTGGTCCGCTGTCAAAATGGTAGCTCCTAGCAGCAGCAGCGGCAATTGAAAGCATTTGCTAATCAAAATCACATTCATATGGAAATCAAACACAAGGCGGAGGCTGTCCGCCACTTGAGATGGAGATGAAGATGAAGATGAAGATGGCCGACCCACAGATGCCCTGTCAGTCGCCTTGGGTGTATGATGCCTGCGAGGAATGGATGGAATGGATGTGGATGGACAGTCGTTTCGGGATACCAAGTGGGCTGAAGCTGTATGATTTGCTTTTTCTTATGAGAATATAACAATTGTAACACAGAAGAAGTAACCCAAAAGCTTGTTTCTTTGTCGCTCTATATTGGGCTCCATTATACAAAGTGCAACAAGAATAGGAATGAGTATCCCAAGGTCCATCACCAATCTGCACCCTCTCTTTCAGTCTTGCTGCCTATTGTTTAACGGCATGCTCTGGGAACACACCACCAAAATAGCTCCACGCATGTGAGACTGGCTCTCTAGATGGGTGAGGTGTAGAGGGTTGCAGGGGTGGTCTGTGCAGCAGCAGAGGTTTCAAATTTGACGCGCCTCGGACGTCAGGAGGCAGCCGCACTAATTGCAGTTGCCAAGG